GTTTAGGCCTTAGGTCATCACTGCACAGTATTGAGCCACGCCTTCACCTTCCTTATTGTCATATTGCTCCAAGATATTCTCCACCTTGTGCCACTTTTCCACATTAATTCTTATTTAAAGTGACATAATACAATGTAGAGAGCATCACTGCCTAAAGAGCACACATAGAGCAAGGGTCACATGTTATTTATTAGAGAAATTCGAAAATAAGTCAGTTGTGAAGGGATTTTCTTTTAAAATCATGATCAGGATTTATTACAGAGAGAATAAAAGAAGATGTGCAGTCAAGGTATAAAGCTTTTTCTTTTACTCTTACAACGCACCTGAAATACCGCAGTGACCCGAAACAGCCAGTCACTGCTGTGTGATAAAGAGGAGGCAGGCTACTGTGAGAAAATGTTCATTACAGAAACGTTACTGACTGGTTTTGTGCTTGCGCTCATTTTTCTGCTTTAGGCGGTAATCAATCATCGAGTCATTTATCTCACACTGGTGCTGAGATCCTTTTATCAACTGCCAGGCTCCCTCAGCTGCACAGTGTTACTGACTACAGGTTTGTTGGCTCACTTTGTAGAATTTACCACCTGATAAAAAGTCAAGTTCCCATGCCCATATCTGTGTGTTGTTGTTATGAACAACTTGATCCTATACTGAGGACATGTAGGTGTAATGTTGTGGTTATAACCTCTTCTGAAAGCAAGATTACTCAAAAACTGCTTGACGTATTTCCACAAAACTTGGTGGAGGGATGCGGTTTGGGTCAGGGAAGAACTCGTTCAATTTTGGTGGTGATCTGGTTCAGGGGGCAGATATGGGATATATATATATATATATGCATTTTCACAGATTTCTCAGAGGATAATTTATAGAAGTAGGATCAAATCAAGTGATTTGTGTGTGTGCATTTTAGTGCAGCGTGACTATATTTAAGGTATGCGCTCTACTGAGTTCCATTCTAGTTGTTTACAAAAAATGTTAGAACCACTTGACAGCTTTACTCTATTAACTCCATAGTTCTTTACAGCTGCTTTTAAACATACTATTTCTAAGTAGGCCAATGGCTCAGGGCAATTGCCACATTCCTTTACCATCATATCTATTTTTCCTAATGATAGATGATCATCGAAGAAACCAATGTGAAGAAACAAAAACAAATTCAGAATTTAACCTTTGGCAGATATGGTTTTGCCATCAGACCCCCCCTTTGCGTGTTTTGGTCTCTGGGGATGTTAACCATCACAGATGCAGCGTGTCTGGCCTTCCTCCTCTGTGGGTCAAAGCTGACTGTGTCTGTGGTGGTAAAGCACTGAGAAGTGTGTCTCTGTGTGTGGGTGTGTGTTGGAGGGGGGTGCGTGCAGATGGTTCACAAGCCAACCTTTCAATTAGGCCCCGAGTATAAATATCCGTGGCTGATTGGAATGTGGCGGCTGCTGGCACAAAAGGCCCGGCTTGGCCCGGCTCCAGGACCCTGTCGCTCACTCACTCTCGCAGTCGTGCTGGAAGCCGCCCAAGGTTACTTTGTCAATGGACGCAATGATTTCCAACTCCCTGTGTCTGCCGCGACCACTCTCCCTTTTTTTCATCCCTGTTTCCATCCGTCCTGCTCCATCTCCCTCCAGCTCAGCAGTAAACTTTACATTTGAAAGAGGCCTTCAGTTGAACCCAGTTGGAGGTTTGATGTCCCTTCTTTCCCCTCGTGCGTTTTATGCCTCAACTGGATTTAGAAATTCCCATTGCAAAGGGTGTCAACTGTGTTTTCAACTCTGAAAAAATTCCATATGTGATTTTTGTATATACTCATATATTTCCACCCACAGTGAAGGTTTGGCTTCCAGTCCAGCTCCTAATCTTATTTAGCTAATGCTGCAGGTGAATAGTCCCTGCAACACGCCCGGGGAGACCCTGTATATCCTTCACAGATTATGGGGATGAGCTCCCAGACAACTTATCCCTCCGTCCTGTCACCGTAAGCTGTCTGAGAAATTATCCACACACCCAGACACATGGTGGTGAGGGTATGAAATGACAAAGCAGAAATGTTTTGGGAGAGGGATCTGTTATCACTGTCACAGAACGATTCCAAATGTTGTGTAGTGCACAGCCTACAAATAGGATTGGTATTACTGCTGGTACAAGGTAAAAGGCAGCTGTCTCTTTTCATTCTTGATTTTACTGTTGATATTTTGAGTTTGGGAACTTTTTTAGGGTTAGGGTTTGTTAGGTTTGAAGATTTCTCATGTTGTCTTCACAGTTTCTCAAAGCAAGTTATGCCCCCACCAATAATATAATATGCCCTTTGTTAAGAAACCTACCCTTTTCTCACTTAACCCCCCCTCCATCACCCACCTACCCAAGCTGTGTCAGGGAAGCCCCCCAGTCTCTTCTGCATCCCTCTGGAATCAGGAGAGATTAAAAATTAGGGGATTAGATTCCCCTCCTAACCCTGTAATCCAACAAAACAATGCTTTCTAATGTCGAGCGAGAGCTCCCGAGGCGTGGGTAAGTCCTCCACGTCAGTTACTCCTTATGGAAGGGTTCCCTCGGAAAAGACGCGCACTCCCATTCTGTCTCTGGACCACCTCCTCCATCCCAACCCCCTTTCTTTATGATCCCGGGCTGTAATGAGGCAACATGGGAGATGGGGCCTAATATCTGCTAATAGGGTCAATGGAATAAACTGTTTTATAGGGGTCACTGTTGGCACAAGGACAAAGGGTTTGCTAAATGCGTGTCTCCTCTGGTGCCAGTTGTAACTAGGATCGTTTTTACAACAACAATACAGTGTCAGGCAGTAATAATGATTCTGATAACGCTGAGGGGCTCCGGTGATGTAAGACACAGGCAGGCTACTGAATTAAGGCCCCGTTTTAAATATGTCAGTGCCACGCTCAGGCTGGAGCTATAGCTGGCCATGGGATGCCCTCCTTTAATTTCATCGCTCTGTCACCTTTTATTAAAACCCATTTGTCTCAGAGAGAGAGACGGAGAAACGAGAAGGAGTGAGAAAAAAAGTAGTGGGGGGGGTGTGGAGAGATGGCGAGTGAGAGAGGGGGAAGAGAGATACAAGCAGAGAGAAAGAGATGTAAAGACAAAGAAGGGTGACTTTCCCGAGCTGCTAGATAACAGAAATTGCTGTTTTGAGGAGGGGCAAGTGTTGTGGGTGGTGTTGATGGGGGTGGTGGGGGCAGGAGGGATGGGTTGCCATCACCTTGGGGAGTGGGTCTTATAGGTGGAAGACAGGGGCGGTAAGGAGGGATGGGAGGGTCTGAGGGGCTCAGCAGGAGTGATTAATGATGAATCTGGGGTATAGTGGACCGGTGGGACTCACCATCCCCGTCTCCATCTCCATCCTGCTCATCCACCTTCCCCCCTAACCCGTACCCAATCCCCAACCCTCGCACCCCACCTTCATGCCCATTTGTATCTGTCTTGGGAGGGGCCATCAAGGACCCTGTGATGTGCCCCCTCATTTTCTCAAAGACAAGAAAGAAATGCGTCCAGAAATGTGTCGTTTCCAAATCCAGCTCTTAAGATTTCTTTTGGAAGGCTACTGTTTATTAATGTCATCGACTCAAGACTAATTATTCTTCCACATGTCTCACAAGAAGAATTCCTTCAGATCTCAACAATGTGTTCACATGCACTCAACGGTGACTCACAGCATTCGGTGGAAAATTAACACGTTCTGATGTATCCTCTATTGAAAGTCTAACAGGATTATGTCCAAACTCCTGTCTTTCATTTTGAGGGTTTGAGGAAATCATGCAATGGTCCAAAAGAAACTCGTGAGACTTGTATTTATTTGTTTTCACTAGGGACGAGGCTGGGGTTTCTGCCAGAGAGTTTATGTGCCGGTTTGTGTGTGCGTGTGTGTGTGTGCATGTGTAGCAGCCACACTTTCTTCACTCTGTCAAATAGCTTTGACTTGGCGCCCTGCTCTGAAATGGCATCAAAGTGGCTCACTGCCACATTTCCACCCCGTCCTGTGGTCCCTTACTCCCTGTCATCTACCTCTAAGCCCAGGCACCCCAGTACCTAAAATCAAAAAGAAATTAAATGATTCATTATATCTTCCCGCCTTCTTCCCGTAAAAAACATGAAAAATAAAAGACAAGAAGGGGCTTTTAAAAACACTTGTACAATGTGTTTTATGTTCCTCTCTGTTCCCCTCGTTTTTCCTCTTTCTAACTGAATAGTACATGATGGCACTTGACGGAGAAGAGGAGGAGAAGGAAAAAAAGGAGAAAGCAGAAGGAGAAAGAGTGAGTGAGAGAGAGGGAATAAAATCAAGTGTGACAACATATGAATTTCAAATTTCCGAGGAGACATCAAAGTGCGCCATCCGGGGTGTCTCTTCGACAAGGACACTTTCTGATTTTTAATTCCGTTCCCTGATTGTATCGCCAAGGCCTTAACGAAGAATGGAGCAGCAATGCCAGTGAGTGGCATCAGGCAGCGAGAGATAGAGCAGGAAGGGAGGGTAAGGGGAAAGGGGGCTGGGGGGGCAGCACAGAGGGAAGAGAGTAAGTGAGATCAGAGGGGGTTAGAGGAGATAGATAGAGGAGGAGGAGGAAGGAGAGAAGAAAGAAGAGCCTCATCCAAACACAGGCGGCCGGGCCCTTTGTTGTCGAAGTGATCATAGCTCCTCTTTCATCAGACAGAGAGATGGAGAAGAGAGAAAGGAAGAGAGACAGTGAGAGTGATCCAGTCCTTTTCCGCTGCGGTGACAGGGACATCCATGGAAGAAGGGCAACTTTTTTTACCCTTTGCACATATCAAATCAAGGCCCCTCTTCCAAGGACTTATCATGTTGTGCACACTTTGAGAACAAAATGCTTACAAGGAGAGCTGGGGGTGCATGTTAACAGTGTGCTCACTTAAACCTTAAACAATATGTCTGTTTGCATGCAGTCGATTGGCTGAAGTCAACACAGTGTCAACACTAACTGCTGTAATAATACTAATCGCTGGTTGTGTTCACTCTTCCTTCTCCTTTACAGTTCACGGCCGCAGCAGTCTAATTGCCTGGGAGGTTCTCAGCGGGAGTGTGGCAGGCCCCTGGCATTCCCTCCCCTGGCAAAGCTCTGCGCCAGTGCTGCCGCAGTGCCAGCTCACCCAGCATTCACACGAGGGGTCTCATAACCCAGAAGAAACCCCCATGATGGGCACTCCCCACTGGAAACGGATGGGAAACCCCAGGGAAGCAGCAGAGGGGTTGGAAAGGTCATATTACTGCTTTGTATTTGCATCTAGTGCTTTATCTCTCTATCTATCTATCTATCTATCTATCTATCTATCTATCTATCTATCTATCTATCTATCTATCTATCTATCTATCTGTCTGTCTGTCTGTCTGTCTGTCTCTCACACACACATAGACAATACGAGGTTACAATCATAATATTTTAGGACCGCCTCGTCCAGCATGTGTTGAAGTTTCCTTGAGCAAGTGTGTGTGAATGCGACATGTATTGTAAAGCTCTCAGAAGCAGTGTATAAACAGTCCATTTACCTTTGCCAGAGTAAAATATCCTGGTATCACCATCAAATCATTGTTCTCACATTTAAATCAAAAACACAGAGATCAAATTGCACAAGCCTCCCTTTATTGAGCAGGGGCAGTTCACTAGTGAAAACGTTTTCCTTCTGTTAAAGAGGGAACTAAACCAGTTTAACTGGTGCCATCAATCACAGTGATGATGACGCTACAGACCTGAGAGTTATGGCTGTAACACTCAGTCTGGATCTCAGGGCTACAGCAGAGTGGAGGCAGAACAGAGAACGACTACGGCAACACACAGGGCTTTTATAGCAATTGAGCATTAACCTTTCTCCTCACACGTTACCTCAGAGGTTCATGTTACAACACAATGATCTGTCAGAGCTGAACTTTTTTTACACATAGTACTGGTGCTACAGAGGTTGATGGTTTTGTAGCACAGGCCACAAATTTGTAAAGATCTGTTACCATCTCTGAAAACAATCACTCTGCCTCATCTATATTCATTGAAAAGAATGAAAAGTAGATGAGTCAAAAATATAGTGTAATCAGATATTTGATTCTAATGGGACAATATGTTTAGTAATTGTGGCCTATTCTCTTTTCAACCATTTCAATGAAATGGAACTGAATGTTGTACATGAATTTGCAATGTTTGTGTCTTGTGTTTAAGAGCAAAAATTAATTTATGTGATCAGTTAGTTGAAACTGATAAGTAATAAAAGTTACGTTTTATATTTTCTTGAATTTTAATGCTCAAACATTTTAATATTTGGCTACAACAAAAGAAAAAAAAACCTTTTGACTAAATGGTAACATCCTGCTATTCTAACAGATCAGAGAATCAAGACAGAAGGTCAAGCGCACCCATGCCATGCACACCACATCCCACTAATACACAGATGCACACACACTCACAAGGGCCCCTCCTTGGTTGTGGAGAGGGGTGCATGGTGAAGCAGCTGGGAGATGTGGGGCCACTATGGCCCTTTAGGGCGAGACAGCCCTAATCCCACCCCCGTCCGACAGCGCCAGTGAAAGGAGGCCTGTCAATCATAGCGTGGCACCCTCGGGTCTCTGAGATGGGCGTGCTCAGATTGAGGATTTACTGTACCCCCTCTTTTTTTCCTTTTTAAAAGCCTCTTGCAGACAGACAGATATACATGTATGCACGTGTGTGCATGCAGGAACACACACCCACACACACACGTACACAGTTTGCTGCCTCTTGGCTGTCACGGCTTTATAAGACCTACTTTGAGCTTATGTGTGTATGTGGGGAGAAAAACGACAGCTACAAAGAGAAATATGCAGATGAATGATGAATTTATGTGTTTAACCTTTACGTTCACACCAGCACATCTCCATATTTCAAGAGGTGTTACGCCAGACATCTGAAAAAACTCCACATCAGACAGATTTAAGTCACATTTATTTTATTTAGATGATTGTGCTTTATCATAACACAGTGAAATTATACTTTATTTCCTTTTAAAGTACATATGACGAGGATTTTCAATTCAAATGATCTGTTATACTTCAAGGAATTACAGGCTGGGGATGGGTCATGATCATTTTGGATACATTTCATTTCATAGGGCTGTTGTTGCTTGACACACACACACACACACACACA